TAACCCCCCCCCCCCAAGGGCTCCAGAGCCAAGTGGAGAACCCTCTGTCTGGGCATTGATGGAGCTCAGTGTCAGAGAGGGCTTCCTGAGGGGGAAGGGGTGGCCAGGAGGAGGGGGAGGCAGGCTCCACGCAGCAGCGCCAGCGAGCGGGACAAAGGCTTGGTGGTCGGGTGGCAGTGAGTGGCCCACCTGAGCAAGGAGGGCTGTGGGGAGAGGGGTGGAAGGTCCTGATACCAGGCGGAGAGCTTCATTCTCTGACTGCAGGGGCAAGAGACAGGCGTAGGCCTGTTTGTAGCCATAGATGGAACACACAGGAGGCACATGGGACCTGCCCGAGTCTCCGAGAAGGGAAGCCATCCAAGTCCCAGCCCACCTGTTCCCTTGTCATTAGACTAATGCCCCCTTAGGCAGCAACCCTGCCCCCCGCCCCAGCCCTCCAACTCAATGCCCTGCCCGCACCAGCTCTGAGCAGTGAGCAGGGCTTTGCGCGCCCTCTGCTGGCAGGATGTCCTGGAGCTGGAACCACCACCCGTCAGGGAGGGGCTGCAGTTAGTCCCCAGCAACCTGGAGGCCCCTGAGCCGGCATCCTCCTGGGCGATGCAGACAGAGCCGGTTGGAGCCTTCACTTCCCTGCCCTGGACTGGCGGGGGCACCGAAGACTTCCAAGGGGAAGGGGATGCTGAGGGGGTGATGCCCCCGGCAGGCTCACCCACAAACGTGGGGTGGATTCTGGACAGGCAGGGCTCGTGGGAATCGTGGACAGTAAAGGACTCACTTTGCCTGGGGCAGGGAGGTTGCTTCATGAAGGAAGAGAGGTGCCAGAGGCCACAGGCCAGGTTCAGAGTGGGTGTGAGGCTCACGGGAGTGCGGGAGTGTGCTTTCGATCCATCACAGAAGCTGTCCAGCTTCAGCAGCGGGCCTGCGCGCTGCGGGGATGCAGGAGTAGTTTGGGAAAATGAATCTGGCTGGGTGTGTAGCTGGTCTCCAAAGGGGGACCAGAGGCAGGGCTCGTTCCACATGACCCCAGATAGGCTCTGTCACCTCAAATCTGAGCAGGTGCTAGAGCTGCCCAGAGCTTGCAGGGCTCCTTGGGAGCCTTTGCTGGGCTTTTCCTGGGCCCCAACAGCCCGGCCTGGGCAGCTTAACTAGGGCTGATGGAGGAGTTTCTTTGTCATCTCTCCAAGCTGCGGGCACCCTCACCACTAACCCTGCCCCTGCCAAGGCCTCCAAACCTTTCCAGATCAGGCCTAAATCTCCTCAAGTGATGCCTTTTGAAGAATTCCAAGGTAAGGGAAGGCCCCAGGGCCGGGTCAGCCCTCCTCCAACACCTTACCACCCCCCTCCACGAGAAAACACTGATGCAGGATGGAGGGCCCACACCAGGCTCAGAAAACCCTCCCGGAGTAGCTGGGTCAAGGTGAAACTGAGCCTCGCTTCCTTCTAGCCCTCCCGCCCCAAGGGAGTTGGGAGCTGGAGTGAGTCAGAGGCACAGTGGGCAGCACAGGGCAGGCAGAGCAGCCGCCAGAAATAGCACGTCCCAGCTCCCCTGGGAGGTGGCCCAGGGGCTCGTCTTAGTTGAAGCAAGATCTGGCACACGGGAGTCACCAACACTGCTCTTCGGGACACTTGAAGGACACCTTGCCTTCTTGTCCCTGGAGAAACTGTGTGAAGGAGGCACATCCAGGAGACTCATCTCCTCCTGGGCACCTCTCAGAGGCTCATTTCTCCAAGGCTTCCCATGCCCTTGACCCCTAACACCTGGTCATCCCTCCCTTTCTCATCACAGAAGGGAGGTTGGGTCCTCTGGAGACACCGGTGGTGTTTCAAAGGGTGGCCAGCATCCTTCCTTGCTTGGGGGTAGCCACATTGGCTTTCTTATTCAAGGGGGTGTTGAGTCCCAAAGGAGGGACACCTGGAAATGGCCCCCCTTCTTGTGTCAGGGAAGGCAACCCTCCTCACCAAACCCCACCCCTTCGTGGGGTCGTGGGATCCACCTCCAATGGTGGACACTTGCCCCAGAAGGTCACAGGACTCGCTCAGCCCCTGGAGCAGATGTAGGGCTGGAGGAGACAGCGGGGTGGTGTGGAGATGGCTGCCCATCCCCCCCAGCCCCCCTTCCGTGTTAGAGTCAGAAGCTGGGCCAAGACTAGGGGAAGGCAAAGGGAGGGGGCCCTCTGGTGTCGATCAAATTTGCAGAAGAGCTCAGGCTAATAAGGAAGGACCCTGCAGGTGGCGCCTTTCCTTCCAACCGTCTTCCAAAGCAGCACAGGGAGGAAGCTTCTGGCCATTTCCATCATGCCCAACCTTCCTGCGTGTACCTGTCCTTCATCGAGTCACTGGGGACACGCAGTGAATACCGTGAACCCAGGCACTGCCCTCCCCGAGCTCCCAGGCTGGTGGCATGAACCATCCTCCCTGCATGAATCATCCCTCATCATCCTGGCATCTCTCGGGCATCCCCGCTAAGAGCACCTTGCCCTGGCACCCAGCAGGTGCTGCCCACCGGCCCTCCCTGGGGCCTGGCCACAGGGCCAGGTGGGACTCTCTGGGCTGAGGCCCAAGCTTGTGGGCCTGTCTCCTCAAATGGTACAGAGGGGCTGGAGGCCCAGGTCCTGTGCCAGGTCCTGCACCCTGCTTGTCTTGGGGCGGCCTTTCCTCTCCCTGGGCCTCAGTTTTCCCGAGTGCAAGGGGAGGGGGCGGCAGGAAGGCACAGTCTCCTCGGACTCACTGACCCTTGGTGTTTCTCACGCTCGGCCGGCCCAGACTGCGAGTGCTATGGCCACTCCAACCGCTGCAGCTACATCGACTTCCTCAACGTGGTGACCTGCGTCAGCTGCAAACACAACACGCGGGGCCAGCACTGCCAGCACTGCCGCCTGGGCTTCTACCGCAACGGCTCCGCCGAGCTGGACGATGAAGATGTCTGCATCGGTGAGCGGGGCGGGCGGGCAGGGCGGCCCTGGGACCCTGCTGGCCCCGGGTGCAGGGCGCCTGACGGCCGAGCAGCGTTAGGTGGGGTCTGAAGGCCTGTGTCTGAATCTCTCTGGAGGCTGTGGAAATTCCCACTTCAGGCCTCTTTAAAGAATCTGCTCTGTTAATCGCCTCCCGTTGGGTCCTCCCCCAGGGCACTGGAGTTTCAGGGGCACTGGTTCTCGTGCTTGCCTTGCTGTGTGCATTTGGACAATTTCCTTCCCTTCTCTGGGCCTCAGTTTCTCTGTAAAATCAGGAGGTGGGTCAGATCAAAGGTTTCCAACCTTTTATCTGTGGCTAATGCCACAAAATCCTCCAGTGAAATTCTTGAATGCTTTATAAGCAGAGCACAGCTTACAGAGCTGCCCTCCACCTGGTCTGCTTTTTCAAATTCTGCTCCAGAACTGCCTTTGGGGACCTGGGCCTGGGCAGAGACAGGCCATCCCACAAGGCCAAAGCCATGGCCCCCAACCAACAGCCAGCAGCCTGGACAGACTGCCCACCACCCCTGTCCCTGTCTCCAGCAGAGGCCAAGTCAGCCCTGGTGCCCAACACCCTGGGGACCCCAGTGCCCATCCCCTCTGGCTGGGAAGGGGAAGGGCTGCCCACAGCTGGAACTGTCGGTCTGAATTACAGCTCAGGCCTTCCGATAATTCTATCAACTCTAAAGTGATCCAAACGGAACTGTGCTGCCAATGTCATGTGGGCCAGCTGCAGGGACATGGCTAGGCCCCTGGATCCGATTAGAGGCTCCCCTGCTTCCCCAGCGCCCCCTCCTCAGTGTCTGTGTGCCTTAACCCCTAGACCCAGCACTGGGCTTCAAGGGTTCCCAGAGGGGAAGCATTTGCCCCCTTGTGCACAGCAGAGGCCCCAGGTCACCAGTAGGGAGCCTGGAGGCCTCTGGGGCTGGGCTGCTCCTCCAAGCGCCCCGGAAAGGAGCTATAGGTGAGGGCTACCCCCCAACCCACACCTACCACAGTCCCGGGGGACAGAGGCCCCACTGCCTCTGATGAGGCTCCTCCCACCTGTCAGATCACAGGTCTTTGGAGCTGGGAAGGATCAGCCCCTGCTCCAGTCCCAGGTGTGGAGGGAGACAGGCCTGGAGCGGGACAGGGTCCCTCCCAGACCC